ACTAGACTAGGGCTCACTCACAGTGTCACCAGGCCTCCTTAAACAAACAAACAGCAACAACAACAACCCCTCCAAAACAGAGACCGTTGTGTTGAATCTAACTCACAGCAGTCCAATAGGACAGAGTATCACTACCTCTTTGGGTTTCTGAGCTGTTAAATCTTTAGAGGAACAGATCACATCAACTTCCTCCCACAGAATGGCTGATGGGTTTGAATTAACTGCTGGCCTGGGTATTAGCAGCTGCATGTGTAGTAGCCCAAGATACCATCAAAACTTGCTGCCATCGAATGAATGGTAACTCACTGGAGACTCACCATGGGTTGCTGAGACTGTAGCTGTTTACAGGAGTAGAAAGCCCAGTCTTTCTCCCGAGGAGCTGCGACTGGTGGTTTCGAACTGCTGACTCTGAGGATCACAGCCTAACACCTAACCACTAGGCCACCAGGACTCCCTACTATGCCTCCTCCAGGGCTCCAAAGCAGCTTAGAAACAAGAACTCTAGATTGAGTCCTGAGTCCTGAGTTTGGTTTGGGGCTCCAACAGAACATTGAAGTCAAGTCACTTCACCAAAATGGAATGGTTTTTAAAAAAACGAGAAAGACTGCCTGAGCCTCCTCCAGCTCTCTAATTCTGAGTCTAGAAAGTGTCTTGAATGCTTTACAGAATGGCTAAGATCAAACAAGATACTAAGTGTTAAAACACTGACAGTGAAATACAGCACAAAGGTACATACTTTCCATCAGACAAGCGTTGTGTTCAATAGCTTGTTCTCACATGATCGACGACTGGAGGCACATTACATAAGCCTTCTGAGCCGGACCCAATCAACCCTGAGGCTCCAGCTGTTGTAAGAATTAAGTGACGGCATCTAATCTTCAACCCTTTCTGGAACGGGATAACCTTATAGACGCAGTGTCCTTGAGATTATGGGAAGGACTTGATCCAGTAGACTCCCAGGTGCTCCATTAATGGTATGGTAATTATGAAAACTACACTTTGAACCCTGAGGCTTTGCAAATATTAATACATTCTTATTTATCTATGTCTTGTTACACAGTCGTGAATTCCACACTCAATTGGAGCCCTTTTTGCTTCTAAAATGACATTTCCTAGGGGAAATGGGGGCGGGGGCAGGAACAAGGATGAGAGGGAAGTTTACAGAGTGATTACAAGGACAAAGAAAGGGGTTTGTTTTGCTTTGGGAATTATGCTTTGCAGTTCTAAATGTTTGTCAGGCTAAGGTGAAAAGTGCAATTAGTCACTGGTCTCGGGTTGGCAACAGGGTTCGGAGGGCACTTCTCACCACCCCAGCAGAGCAAGCAAACAATGAGCCCCTCTGGGGTTCCTATTGGCTCGGGAGTGAAGAGGGTGTGGGAGGACAGGTAAAGATGATCTCAAGTGCCTCTGGGCGTGGCCCTACTTGGTAGCTGTTGCTCTTCGGGGCCCATCTTTCCCACCCTCTACAGGTTGTTTGTACCCTGTAGTTCGCACGGGGTTACAGTGGTTTGTTTTCTTCCTTCAACCCAGGAATGGAGAAAGAAGAATCAGGGAGCAGATTTTTGCCAGAATACCAGGTTATAAGGTGAAAGGTCATAAACAACCCTGTCGAGGAGGGCTGCATTTCGGAACGTGCCTTGGCCCCCGTCCTGGTAGGCAGCTGTTGCTGCCAAAGCTTAACGAGTGTTTGGCATCCAAAGGGACTCGAGCACAACGCAGTGCGAACGAGAGGTCCGGAGGAATGAAGAAACTGGAAGTGGAAGGTGAAGCGGAGCAAGAGAGAATTGTAGTTTTTTAAAAGACGGAACGATGAGGGCAATGAATGTACAAATCTGCTTTACACCATTGATGTATGTATGGATTGGGATGAGTTGTATGAACCCCCTAATAAAATGATTTTTTTAAAAAGAAAACGAAAAAACCCGGCACTTCATAGAGCATCCATTGCCATCACTCAATTCCCAGGCAAGAAAGGCATGACAGCGCAGGGTTTCCTAGGCTGTCAGCTTTATGTAAACAAACCGTCACCTCTTTCTCCCCCAGAGGCCGACCTTCGGGCAAGCAGCTCAGTGGTTAGCCACAGCACCAGCAGGGCTCCGCGAGCCTTTCAGGGTTCTAGATGCGTAGTAGAGAGTGGGCTCCCAGTTGGTTCCAGCTCACAGAGGCCACATGTATCACAGAAACAAAAACATGACCTGCTCCTGGCCTGGCCTCACAACCACTGGTATGCTTGGGCCCATTGTTGAAGCCGTTTTATCAATCCAGCTGGTTGACGGTCTTCCGTTCCACGGCTTTTCGACTTTACCAAGCATGATGTCCTATCAGGACTGGTCCCTCCTGATAAACTGCCCAAAGTACATGATACAAAGCCTCGCTTCTAAGGACCGTCGTGGCTCCCAAACTAACAAATGTCAGAGCTGTTTTCTCCAAGATGTCTTCAATTAGCACCACCTTGATCCATTACGACGCACCTACTCTCATCCCCTAAAATGCATGTAGTTACAAATCACACTTTTCAACAATATTGATTCATGTATTTCTTTGTAAACATGTTGCTTTTTCCTATTGCTGTACTTTAATATTTATTAAATAAAAATCCTCCTAGAAGCCACATTTTAAGTTGAAAAAAAATTACTTGCTCATAACAACTCTATAAATATTGAGAGAATGAATGCACCGCATACCTAGTTGGTTCACTTTCTAGAACAGGGCGCTGTCTCAAACCCACACAGCCTAAGGATCAACATGTTCCCCTTTTTGTTTCTGAGAGTTGTGTTGGGTGCTGTTTCCCAACACAGTCATGATTCCTGATTCTTGCGCTTACTTAATATTGGAGTTGAGTTATAACTTCCTAGCCTAAGGGGGTCAACCCAGTTAGGGCGTATGAGGAAGAAAGATTCCAAACAATAATGAATACGTTTCTTCTTGCTGAGCGGGTAGGAATTTCATATATTCTAATACTTCTATTTACTTCTCCTTCTCTATCTCAGTCTTAGGACTTTAACTTTCGCTTTCTAATGCAAGGCATCTCATCTCCCAATTATCCAAACACAGATATGAGAGGGGACCAGGAACCAAAGAAAGGTGGGAGAGAGGTGACAAATGTTTTGTTTTATTTATGAGTACCCTCTCAGGGGTCAGCTCCTAAGGCAACTCCTGAGCATCTGAGGAAAAACTCCTCAGACAATTAAATGAAACCAACACAATTGACAGGGTTCCCTTCAGTTTGAAATTCTAGTGCCCTGGTTAACCTTCTTTCCCCCTTGGTCTCTTCTCCCTGATTTCTAAAGAGCTTAGGAAAAAAGGAACGTTTACAAGAACAAGGGCATTTTCCCTTCAAACAGGAGTGAGATGCCTTTAAGCAACTAGGAGACGTGAGGAGTGCTGAGAAAACGGGCTCAGGGGGCACTTTTGCTTTAGTGAATCAGGAGACGGCAGAGAACCCAGGGAGGCAGTGCAGAGTACAGCATTCTTTGTTTCCTTTCCAGGAAAAGGAGGGAGCAGGGAGAAATGCCCAGAGCCTCGGGGGCACACCTCACTGAAGAGGCAAATGCTGTAAACAGGGAACATAAACACCGTGTGCCTCACCTTGCAGGTAGGCACGGAGATGAGGGGATAAGCAACAGGATGTAGGCACGCCCTTGCTGTTTCCCTTCCAGAGAAGCGACGAAACAGACCGGGGTACAGCCGGCACTCGCCCCAGAACCGTGAGGGGGGGCCCACACACCTGCTTTCCCAGGGGGGCAAAAGGAAAGTTCGCAATTGGTGACAAGTTCGCCTGTCTTCCAAGACAGCACGCTTGCTTGTTTTTAGTAGCAGAGACAGGCAAAGAAGCGCGAAGGGCGCAGCTCCGCCGCCATTCCCGGCCCGCCTTCCCGGCACACAGTGTTCTCGGGGGCGTGCGGCTTCGTTCCGGGACTGGCGCTTTGGGAGCTGGGCAAAGCAAGTGGTCTCGGTGCTACCTGCCTTGCAAGGCACACACGCCCCCCATAAGCCTATTTCCCCTTTTCTCAAAATGCTTCTCCCAAACAAGAAGCTTCCTCACTTGCCCTCCAGGGGCCACTCGCCCTCGGATCGGTTTACGGGGTCAGCGGGGAACTCCCGGTCCCCGTGCCCGGAGGGAACTGCCCCGCAGTCCCCCGCCTCCGCCTCCGCCTCCGCGTGAGGCTGCGCTGTCGGCACAACAAGCGGCTTCCCAGCCAGGAGCACACCGTGTCCACGAGCCTCGACGCCCGCGCTGATTGGCCAGCGCCCTGGTAAACAAGGCACGCGCAGCCAATGGGAGGGCTGTGCACGAGGCCAGCACGAGCCGCGCGGCCGCGCTCTCGTGGCCCTGCCAAGCCCGGCTGCGTATAAAACAGTTTCCGGCTCGGCCGGTGAAACCGTTTGCTCTTCTGTTCGGACCGGTCACTTCCCCGAAGTCCCAAGCGCAGTCTTGCAGTTTTTAAGAACTGCTTTCCCTCTTGAAGTTGCTTGACCGTGCCAGCAAGCGAAAGCATTTTGGGGGGGCATTTTTTTTTTAGGGACTGTAGTCGTGGGTGAGGCTTCTGTCTTTAAGCGCAACCTGCTTAAGGACCTCCATCCTCGCTGATTCCTTAGAAAGTGGACTGCTTTCGACAGGTCCTTCGTGGAGCTAGGGCTTGCTTTCTCTTCCCCCGTGGTTTCCAACTCGTGAGCCAGCCCAGCCATGGTGATGTTTAAGAAGATCAAGTCCTTCGAGGTGGTCTTTAACGACCCTGAGAAGGTGTACGGCAGTGGGGAGAAGGTGGCCGGCCGGGTGGTCGTGGAGGTGTGCGAGGTGACCCGCGTCAAAGCGGTCAGGGTCCTGGCGTGCGGAGTGGCCAAAGTCCTCTGGCAGCAGGGCTCGCAGCAGTGCAAACAGACCTTGGAGTACCTGCGCTACGAGGACACGCTGCTCCTGGACGACCAGCCCACGGGTGAGAAAAGGACTCCACTGCCCTCCGGAGGGAGGGTCCCCAGGGGGCGCGATTTGAGAAGCAAGGGCCGGAGGGTGGGAGGTGATCAGAAAAGAGACGTGAAATCAATAAACGGAGCCTATTCCAAAGAGTCTAAGCTGGTGAGGGTGAGTGGTTTTAATTTTGTATGATTCCCTTTTTTCTAGTTTTAATTTGCTAGCCACCTACCCCCCCCCCAACAACAAAAAACACAATGGGTGATTAAGTACAATTTATTCAGGGCTTGAACCCTAAGGTGCCCCTGAGGGTTGTTGCCTCCGCTAGTCAAAGATTTCTGCGTGCATCAAGTTGAGTCTGAATAGTGCAGGGCTCCGCCAGTTTTTGCCCTCACAAGGACCATTAAGACTGGAAATGGAGTACTCGCCATTGCTTATCACACAGATGCATTTTAAGTGCAACAAGAAACCGAATGGGTGCTCCCTTTTCTCTCCCTGCAGGTGAGAGTGAGATGGTGATCATGAGACCTGGAAACAAATACGAGTACAAGTTCGGCTTTGAGCTTCCTAAGGGGTAGGTATCAACAATACGTCGTTGGACTCCTCTCTCTGAACGCTTTGCCCCGCTATGTGGACAGTTGCAAAAATCATTGTTCGCGTTTCCTTGACACAGGCCTCTGGGAACATCGTTCAAAGGAAAGTATGGGTGTGTCGATTACTGGGTGAAGGCTTTTCTTGATCGTCCCAGCCAGCCAACCCAAGAGATCAAGCAAACCTTTGAAGTGATGGACCTGGTGGACGTCAGTACCCCTGATCTGATGGTGAGGTTCATGTTAAGCTTCTAATCTTCTGGGTCTTGGTAGTGATACATCATTAAATTGAAGTATTTCAAGTTCTAGTCACCAAGGTGGGAGGAAAACCTGCTGCTTCTAAGGGACTGCAAAGGAAAAGAGCCGGGGGGAAGTTCCTAAAAATTATTAAAACATCTATTTTTTTTTTCTTTCCCATTCTCCATAGGCACCTGTATCTGCTAAAAAGGAGAAGAAAGTTTCCTGTATGTTCATTCCTGATGGGCGGGTGTCTGTCTCTGCTCGAATTGACAGAAAAGGATTCTGTGAAGGTAAAAAACCTATTGCCTAATGTGGGGTGGTGGATATTCACAGGAACCTTACTTAGCTTTGGGGGTGAAGGGAGGAGCAGAGGAGGTGCCATCAACTATCCTGGGAATCAAGGACTGAATCACCTTTCTCCTTGCTAGGCGATGAGATTTCCATCCACGCCGACTTTGAGAACACGTGTTCCCGAATTGTGGTCCCGAAAGCTGCCATTGTAGCCCGGCACACTTACCTTGCCAACGGCCAGACCAAGGTGCTGACGCAGAAGCTGTCATCCGTCAGAGGCAATCATATTATCTCAGGCACGTGTGCTTCATGGCGTGGCAAAAGCCTGCGGGTGCAGAAGATCAGACCTTCTATTCTGGGCTGCAAAATCCTCCGCGTGGAATACTCCTTACTGGTGAGTGGGGGTAGCTCTAGGAAACATTTCTTCACTTGTCTCTATAGCAGTTGTCTTTCTTCCAGACCTCTCGACTAACAAACTGTCGTCGTCTTTTCCAGATCTATGTTAGTGTTCCCGGCTCCAAGAAGGTCATCCTTGACCTGCCCCTCGTCATTGGCAGCAGGTCTGGTCTGAGCAGCCGAACCTCTAGCATGGCCAGCAGAACCAGTTCAGAGATGAGTTGGGTCGATCTGAACATCCCAGATACCCCAGACGGTGAGTGACTCAGGCCTTTTCTTCCCCTTTTGGTCTGTCATTTAGGTTTGGACGTAGCAGGGTTTTTCTGGGCCAGGCTGCTGAACGCTTCATTTTCTCTCTCCAGCTCCTCCTTGCTATATGGACATCATTCCTGAAGATCACCGCTTAGAGAGCCCCACCACCCCGCTGCTGGATGACATGGATGGCTCTCAAGACAGCCCGATTTTTATGTATGCTCCTGAGTTCCAATTCATGCCACCGCCACCTACTTACGCCGAGGTGAGCATGGTCATCATCTGTCGTAACCCTTCTGCACGGCGTTGGTTGACTTGGGATGGCTACACGAAGGCTACCTTTTCAGCTTTCACTCAATTTGAAACGGTCTCTCTTCTTTGTCTTCTCAGGTGGACCCCTGCATTCTCAACAACAATGTGCAGTGAGCGAGTGAAAGAAAAGAAGCGACTGTGCCTGCTTGTTTCTTTCTAACTCCGTGGACTCTCATGCTTTCAGAGACGTGATCGTCTCTGCAGTGGGGTAGGGGGCCACCCCAGCCGCTCACGGTCATCTCCTGGCCTTAGCAGTGTGGACTCGACCTTCACCGGCGCCGATGTTGTGATAGAGGGCTGTTTGATGGATGGGTTTGAAACCACACTAGGGAAATGCAGGCCTGCCTGATTTTCTGAGATCACCTTGATTTTCACTAGTCTTGAGTCAAGGGTAGAAACAGCTTCCTGACAGTCTTCCCAGCGTTTTTGTGGAGGAGATGTTAAACAAGACCAGACTTTGAACCTCTTTGCCATGTACAGCAGAGTTGACTTAGCAAACTAGAAAAAGGGGGACTTGGGAGTGTGAGTGGAGGGGTATTGTGGCCAAAACCTTGGGAAAGGGGGTTCTTAAAAATCAGTGTTAACCCTTTATATGCTTAATTGTAGAAGAAGTAGAAAAGCAAACACCCAGGGCTGCCCCGGGTCAGGGTTCAGAGCTTTTCTTGTGCATTAGGGGAAGACGCTGTAAGTGGTTAGTATTCAGAATGTACTCTGTAACCTGGCCTCAAGCTGCAGTGATATCCCACCAAGTCTTAAAAGCCGTTTTTAAGTTTCTTGCACTTTGTTCTCCTGTTGCAAACATTTTCTTGAGGGAGGATGTGTTTTTCTTTTCCGCGTGACTCCTTAGACTTGATTCTAAGGTGACGCTAGCACTTTAGTACCTGTGAGTCTCCTTCTCTATCTCTAATGTCAGCTCCGTATAGTCCACCATATGTCTGGAAGCAAGCACAATGATAACACCAAAAAGAGTGTTACTCTGAACTACTTTTGATACTCTTGTTCCAGTGTACAGAACTATGCAATTGTGACACGCGAATCATATGAGAGTGGTTGCTGCTGCCAGCCTTGCCCACTGTGACGTTTCTAAACCCAAGCAGAGACTAGATTAAGATGCCCAAACACTGTGATCAGAGCCTCTGGATGCATCTGGGAAAACTAGAGGGCGGGTCTTCCCGAAGGCCCCTGGGCCCCTTTCCTGCCCAGTGTTGGAGCTGGGATGCTGCCTGCCCCCCCACTGCAGCACTTGGTCATCCCCACAGTCACAGCACTTTGTTCACTGCCCGACATTAGAGCACTGAACCTTTCTTTCCCTGAGAATTCTGCAGCTAGAAAATATGTGGGCCGAAGGTGATTTTTGTTGTTTTTTAAAATTGTATATCTTTTTGTATGATTAAAAACTATATTTTGTACTTAACCAGATATATTTTCACTTCAAATGGGGATATTCTTTGTTAAAAAATAAAAGTTTTTTAATGGTATGGTGGTGTTTGTGTTTTTGTCCAAGAGATAGCTTTAGAGAAGTTATTAGGGAGGTGGCCCTGAAGGAGTTGAAAATCATGTGACAATTTCTGATGACTTTGAAGAAAGAATGGGGTTGGTGGGTTTGAGGGGTGAAGAGGGAAGGAATTTGAGGTTTGTTGAGTTTCCCTTCTCATTGTGCTGAGTCTGCTAGTGGTCGGAGCTAGTTTCCAACATCTATAGCTAATCAATTAGTGAATTTTTCCCTTTGGTTGTGCATGAACTCGAAATAGAATAAGATCTGGTTTGTGAAAGCATTTAGAGTGCAGATTCCCCTTTCTTGATAGAATGTGGACTGCACACAGGGTGTCTCTGACATGAGGTGGCCCCATGTGTAGGAAAGCATCTTCCCCAGTGGCTGGTTTTTCAGAAGCAAACCAAGCCATCCTAAGAAGCCTGTCTTCGCAGCTAAGTGCATTAGCACACCTGGTAGTGTCTCTCTTCAGACTAGTTCTTCAGGACTTCAGGGTTTAGAAGGATGAGTATTAACATTTTTCAAGACTCTGCTATCGAGCCCCCTAGCCCCAGGCAAGGGTCTCAAACCTGCCTTACTATCAGACAGATCATTGCTGGATCAAACAATGCTTGGTCAGCTGACCTCCCTCTAGAGTAGTGGTTCTCAACCTGTGGGTTGCAACCCCTTTGGGGGTCAAACGACCCTTTCACGGGTCGCCCGATTCATAACAGTAGCAAAATGACAGCTAAGTAGCAATGAAAATAATTTTATAGTTGGAGGGTCACCACAACATGAGGAACTGTATTAAAGGGTCGTGGCTTTAGGAAGGTTAGGAACCACTGCTCTAGACCCAACCTGAATTTGTTCTGGGAACATGTATCTCTTGCTTGTTCAAGGACAAAAATTTCTTCTCTGGCTTTTTAAATTTTGAAAGTGGTCTTTTCTTTCTTACTCGTTGGTATTTTTATATTATTATTTTCTCTTTACCACTTTATTTGATTTTGTTTTTATTGTTTCTATTGTGTTTCCTAGCTTGTGAAGCACAGGAGGGGTGGATACAAAGGTTTATAGGGGACTTGGGGTGTGGAGTGTGAGATAGGAAGTGTGAGGGGATTTCGGGAGTAAACAATGAGGGGGAAGGAAGCACTAGATCTGATTGTGATTACACAACTAATTTTAAAGTGTTTTAACCATGGGAGGGGCGTGATCTGAAGTTGATTGTGATGATTATATAATTCTTGATATGATTGAATGATGGAACTATTGAATTGTATGATATGTGGATTAGATGCCAGTAAAAATGGAAAAAAAAAAAAGACTGCTATCAAGTTCATTCCAATTCACTGTGACCCTCTAGGACTGGTTCTCAGCTTCCTAATGCCACGACCCTTTAATACAGTTCATGTTGTGGTGACACCCCAACATAAAATTATTTTCGTTGCTACTTCATCACTGCAATGTTGCTACTGTTATGAATCGGACGACCCTGTGAAAGGGTTGTTTGACCCACAGGTTGAGAACTGCCGCTCTAGGACAGAGGTGAACTCCTATGGCTTTTCTGAGGCTTCAGTTTCTATGGGAGCAGAGAGCCTCATCTTTCTCCCGTGTTAATGGCTAGTGGTTTCGAACTGCTGACTTTGCAGTTAGTATCCCAACACAGAGCCCTCTAAGCCACCAGGGCTCTTTGAAGACAACTACTATTTTATTTACTTTTACTGTTTTATTTTTAATTCCCATTCTTCTCAGCATTGCTCCTACCCAAGCACAAAATCAGAGTTCAGTAAATGTTTGCTGAATGTTCAACCCCAACCTTATCCCTTAGAATAGGCTTCTGCTGTTCTGTTTCTTCCTTGTAGAAGAAGAATATTTGATCCAATGGTCCCACCTGTACCTGAAGTGACTTTTACTATGCCTAAAGGAGTCACCAGGGTGAGAAACCCCCAGGTAGGTGGTCAAGAGCAACAGACTTCCTGATCTCCGGCGTATTTGAACCCTTGTAGACAGCTCTTGGGAACCCTGGTGGCACAGTGGCTATGAGTTGGGTTGCTAGCGTCATCTCAAGGTCAGCAGTTAGAAACCACCAGGAGGTAAATGAGGTTTTCTACTCCCATAAGAAGTTACAGTATTGGAAACCCGTAGGGGCAGTTCTAGCCTGTCCTAGAGGGGCACTATGACTTGACACTCAGGGGCGGTGAGTTTGTTTGGGGTTGGACAGATCCCAGGCCTGGTGGCAATGTCCCTGTTGACATTCCAGTGTTGCAAGGTCCTTGCTTGAAGCCCACTAGCTGATCCTCAGGGGACAGATCTCACTGTCTGCTCCCATAAAGAATTACCGCCTTCGACACCCTACACTATGGGTCACTATGGGTCAGAATGGGCTCCAGGGATTTGGGGTTAGACAGAGCTAGTCCAGGTTCTTATTCTGAGGACCTCCACATGCCAATGCTAAACGTACAACTGCTGGAAAGCCTACATAAGATCAGTGTGAAATAAAGGGAAGTTTCAAAGATCACTTCCATTTCCCTTTGTTTAGTGCTCTTTTAACCTCAGTAGCTCTTGCCTTTTCCTGTTTCTCCCCATTTTTTTTTCTCGCTCTCCCTGTTGCCATGGTGACTCTCACCTGAGCACTTTGCCTCGTCCCTTCTCACCTTTTCAAGAATCTAGTGACTCCTCCCCTTCTAAATTGTGACCAGGAAACTAGGGCAAAGTTGATGGAAAAGTTCTTCCTGAAGCTTGTTTTTCAGGGACTGGAGGGGTGGAGCAAGGACAAGGGCAAGCCAGAGGGCAGGGCAAAAGGGATGGGAGATTGTGGGAGGGAGTGCCTGCGCCTGCTGTTTATACACACAGCTGGGCTACTGGTGCATGACAGGAGGTGGCGCGGGGAGGATCGATAACTTACACCCAAGGCCTCGCAGAGATGGAGAGATTGATCCTGGGAAGGCCAGGACATATGCATTCCCTCCTAATACCTTGCCGCCCTTAATCCGGAACTATCCAAGAGAACTTTGCAACTCTGTATCTGGTAGCCACTAGCTCATGCAGCCATTAAGCTTTGAAAGTGGCTACTCTGACAGATGAGGCGAATTTTACAACGTTCATTTAATTAATGCGAACTGCCTTCTGTGACAAGTGATTATTAGCACCGCAGAATCTGAGGAAGGAAGGAGGCCGCTAGAACGACTTTCCCAAAGGAAATCGATCTCTCCCTCGGGGCTCCATCTCCTTCCTTTCCCTTTGTACACACAGCTTCCACGCCACCTCAGGATATTTCCTGAAGACAGCCCACTCAGCGCGGGCCTGGCTGCTTCTCCATTTAGTGAGGGGGTACTGTGTGTGGTGTGTGTGTATGCGTGTATGTGTGTGCGTGTGTGTGTGTGTGTATGCGTGTATGTGTATGCGTGTATGCGTGTATGTGTGTGGTGTGTGTGTATGCGTGTATGTGTGTATGCGTGTATGTGTGTATGCGTGTGGTGGACTAGATGGACCGCCGCATTCGCGTCAACATCGCCAGCTGCCCATCATCACACTGACACCAGTTGCGGTTGCTGTGCTGTGTTCAACCATCGCCAGGCCTTTCCATTTTTAAAATCGT